CCCCCCCTCCCTCGGGAATTGTCGCCCCCCACCCCCACCCCCTCTTTCTCCGCCGCCGCCGGAGCCTGGCGATCCGGGCACAGCGAGGCTGCGGCATCAGCGGTGAAGCACTGCGGTGGAGGCCACCCGCGCCCCCCCACCCACATCGCCCCGCATCTCCCCCGGTTGAGGTAGGGAGAAGCCAGCTGAGCGGCCTTCGGGGGCTTGGGGAGGTGGGCTTTGAGGCTGAGTGTGCGGAGATCCCTTCTTCATTCCGGCTCTTCCCGTCCTGGATTCTCTTCTCCCAGTTGCAAAGCAGTTGTGTCTAGAGAGCATCCTGGCTCCTTCTTCTTCTTCTTCGTCTTCTGTCTCTTTCTCTCTCTCTCTCTCCTGGTAGATGTTCATGCATCGCTCTCTTGTTGGCCAGCAAGGACCATTCTCCATCTCTCTCTGTGCTTTCCATGCTGATTCCAAATCCTTCCTTCCTTCCTTCCTTCCTTCCTTCCTTCCTTCCTTCCTTCCTTCCTTCCTTCCTTCCTTCCTTCCTTCCTTCCTTCCTTCCTTCCTTCCTTCCTTCCTCTCCACTTTCCATCCCCTGTTCAGCTTTTCCCCCACACATCTATGGCTTTGACCTCTACTCCTGCCTCTGGGTTTTTTGTAAACCCCCCCCACCCCCCTGCTGGTTTCTTCTTTAGGGTCCACCAATCTCTCAACCTTTTGGGTTGTGTTTTTTTCCCCCCTTCCTTCTGGTCCACCTTATTCTGTCTTTCCTTCTTTTGTGCCACATGGACACTTCAGGGGGGAGTCTCCTGAATCTTTCTCCAAACCTCCTTCAAACTCTCCTTGGCCTTCCCTTTGAGTCCACTCTTTCCTCTTTTATTTTATCCCTCTTTGTATCCTTTCCTTCACCACCCTCTCTTATAAATGTTATTTTTTATTCTTGGACACGGTTGTTATTTTTCCCCAAGATTCCTATTGTTCTTATTCATAGATTCTCTCTTAGACATGCACATAAGGCATCTCCTTTTCTCTCTCTAACCCTCTCTCCCACTTTCTCTCTTTCCTCCTCTCTCTTTTGCTCTCTCTCTTTCTTTCTCTCTCTTTCCCCCTCTTTCTTTCCTTCTCTCTCCCTCCCTCTCTCTCTTTTTCTCTTTCCTCCTTTCTCTTTCTCTCTCTCTCTCTTTCTCTTTCCCTCTCTCTTTCCTCCTCTTGCTTTCTCTCTCTCTCACACACACTCTCTCTCTCTTTCCTTCTCTCTCCCTCTGTCTCCCTCTGTCTCCCTCTCCCTCTCTTTCTCTCTCTTTCCCCCTCTTTCTTTCCTTCTCTATCCCTCTCTCTCTTTCTCTCTTTCCTCCTCTCTCTTTTGCTCTCTCTTTCTTTCTCTCTTTCCCTCCCTCTCTTTCCTTCTCTCTCTCTCTCTCTCTCTCTTTCCTCCTTTTGCTTTCTCTCTCTCTCACTCTCTCTTTCCTTCTCTTTCCTTCTCTGTCTGTCACTCTCTCTCTCTCTCTCTCTTAATGACCAGCATCAGAAATATTCTCATTTGACTTTTGGCCCCAATGGGTTGGAAAAGCTTATTAGGTCACAGGCAAAAAATGTGCAATTTAAGGGCAACCTTTTTTTTTTTGTAAATGGAGGTGGATAAAGGCCAATTATGTAAGATGTACATGGAAAAAAGTTTCAAGACAGTTTCAATGACATCACTCGAAGGAGTTATGACTTCATGTTCTCCCTACCAATATTGGCCTCCTTTTTAGATAAAGGATTGCCTTGCAGTTCTGATCCATAGATCCCCCCCTAAAATGATGAATGCTGCAATTGAAATAGGGATCTATTTTCTTTCCAGACTGCACCATATTTTTTTTTGCTCTCTTCCCCCTCGATATTGAAGAGTATCAGGCGTACATCAATGCCTGGCCTCGAACTCCTAATCGATCGAATCGATTGATGTATTTATAAGTCACCCTGTGGCTCCTGCATGTTCAGCCTCGATCCTGAACCTTCCTCCCCTCTTCGCGTGGGTTTCTCTCCCTCCCTCTCTCTCTCTCTCTCTCTCTCTCTCTCTCTCCCTCCCTCTCTCTCTCTCTCTCTCCCTCCCCTCTCTCTTGACTTTGGGATGGATTGTGTGTTGCTTCCAAGGACGTGATCAAAATCTTTCAGGGTCCATGCAAAAATGGAAGGCTGCTTTGGAATGCTAAGCATACCTTGAAAAGGAAAAAAAAATGGGGGGAAGGATAAATGCCATTTTAGAGGGGAAGGTTTGTAATATTATTCGGCTTTGCATGCCCTCCCCAAAGCAGAGGCTTTGCATGGAGGGGTTGTGCATTATACATGTGTGTCAGAGAGAGAGAGAGAGAAGGAGGGAGAGAGAGAGGGAGAGAGAGAGAGAGAGAGAAGGACAGAGAGAGGGAGAGAGGGAGGGAGAGATAGAGAGTGAGAGAATGTGCCACGAGAAGGAGAGATGGAGAGACCCCAAGCAAAGCAGAACAAAGGAGGGAAAGAAGAAGACAAAATGGAGAGATTTCAAATTTCAAATGCAGAGTTCATCTATTCCCTATAGATGAATCGCTCTTAACCCCCTTTTCGTCAATTGGCAGACGGCAGCTTCTATGTGTGCATAATAATAATAAAATAATGTTGAATTATTGAATGATGAATTCCCCCATTCCCCCCCCCCCGGGTCTTATACAATGAATCCAATTGTAGAGATTACCTAACCCATCATAGAAAGAAGAGAATGGAATAACAAGAGTTGGAAGGGACCTTGGAGGTCTTCTAGTCCAACCACCTTCTCAGGCAGGAAACCTTATATACCATTTCAGAGAAATGGCTGTCCAATCTCTTCTTCAAAATTTCCAGTGTTGGAGCATTCACAACTTCTGGAGGCAAGTTGTTCCACTGATTCATTGTTCTCACTGTCAGGATATTCCTCCTTAGTTCTAAGTTGCTTCTCTCCTTGGTTAGTTTCCACCCATTGCTTCTTGTCCTGCCCTCAACGGCTTTGGAGAATCGGTTGACTCCCTCTTCTTTGGGGCAGCCCCTGAGATATTGGAAGACTGCTATCCTGTCTCCCCTAGTCCTTCTCTTCATTAAACTAGACATACCCAGTTCCTGCAACCGTTCTTCATATGTTTTAGCCTCCAGTCTCCTGGATGAATAACCTTATTGTTGTCTTAATTGTCTTATCCACTCCAGAACTTCGGTTCCTAAAACCTATATTCTTTTGTGTCTTTTTTTTTTAGACTATCCATCTTTATTCAGGAACAGTAGGTTTGATTGCTGATCTGAGAAAAATGCTCCTCTGGCTTTTTCTGGTGTTGTCCAGCCCAGCTTCCTCTACGGATCCAGAAACGGACGCCACGGTGGAAATTTGCAATGTTTGTTCCTGCGTGTCGGTGGAAAATGTCCTTTATGTCAACTGTGAAAAGGTGGCCGTTTACAGACCCAACCAGCTTAAGCCCCCTTGGTCGAATTTCTATCACCTCAACTTTCAGAATAACCTGCTGATTATCCTGTATCCAAACACATTCCTTAATTTTAGCCATGCAGTGTCTCTGCAGCTGGGAAATAATAAGCTACAGAACATTGAAGGAGGAGCATTTATGGGTCTCAGCGCATTAAAACAATTGCACTTGAACAACAATGAATTAAAGTTTCTCCGAGCTGACACTTTCCTTGGCATTGAGAACTTGGAGTATCTCCAAGCGGACTACAATTTAATCAAATATATCGAGCGGGGAGCCTTTAATAAACTTCACAAGCTCAAAGTCCTCATTCTTAATGACAACCTGATTTCTCTGCTACCTGATAATATTTTCCGATTTGCTTCTCTGACCCACTTGGATATTCGGGGCAACCGCATCCAGAAACTGCCCTATATTGGCGTCTTGGAGCACATCGGGCGCATTGTGGAATTGCAGCTGGAGGACAATCCATGGAATTGCACCTGTGACCTCCTGCCTTTGAAGGCTTGGCTGGAGAACATGCCCTACAACATCTACATCGGAGAAGCCATTTGCGAGACCCCCAGCGATCTCTACGGGAGGCTTTTGAAAGAGACCAACAAACAAGAACTCTGCTCCATGGGGACGGGGAGCGATTTTGATGTCCGAATCCTGCCCCCTTCCCAGCTGGAGCCTGGCTTCAGCACCCCCAACGGTCACACCACTCAAACCACGATGCACCGGTTAGTCACCAGACCTCCCAAAACGACCAACCCTTCTAAAATCTCTGGAATTGTGGCTGGGAAACCTTTCTCCAGCCGCAATCTCAGTCAAATTGTGTCTTTTCAGACTCGGGTGCCCCCTCTGACCCCTTGCCCGCATCCCTGCATTTGCAAAACCCACCCTTCAGATTTGGGATTAAGCATCAATTGCCAAGAGAAGAACATCCGTTCCCTGGCCGAGCTTGTCCCTAAGCCTCTGAATGCCAAGAAATTGCACGTTAATGGCAATTACATCAAGAATGTGGAGGTATCTGACTTTGTCGAGTTTGAAGGGCTGGATTTACTCCATCTGGGCAGCAATCAGATTGCGGCCATCCAAGGGGAAGTTTTCCACAACCTGACCAATTTACGGAGGTTGTATCTGAACGGCAATCAGATCGAGCGGCTGAGTCCCGAGATGTTTGCCGGGCTGCACAACCTTCAGTACCTCTACTTGGAATACAATGTCATTAAAGAGATTTTAGCCGGCACCTTTGACCTGATGCCCAACCTTCAGCTCCTCTACTTAAACAACAACTTGCTGAGAAGTTTGCCGGCCTACATTTTCGCCCGGGCACCGCTCGCTCGGCTGAATCTACGCAACAACCATTTCATGTACTTGCCTGTGAGTGGCGTGCTAGACCACCTGAAAACCCTGACCCAAATCGATCTGGAAGGGAACCCCTGGGACTGCACCTGTGACTTGGTGGCCCTGAAACTGTGGCTGGAAAAACTCAACGACGGCATCGTGGTGAAGGAGTTAAAGTGCGAGACCCCCGTGCAGTTTGCCAACATCGAACTGAAGTCTCTCAAAAACGAGATCCTGTGTCCCAAACTCCTCAAGTCGTCTTTCTTCACCAGCCCGGCTCCTGTCCTGACCTTCACAACTCCTTTGGGCCCAGTCCGCAGCCCTCCTGGCGGTCCAGTCCCACTTTCCATCCTCATCTTGAGCATCTTGGTGGTCCTGATTTTGACCGTCTTTGTGGCTTTCTGCCTTCTGGTCTTTGTTCTCCGTCGTAACAAGAAGCCGTCCTCTAAACACGAAGGTTTGGGCAACCCCGAATGCAGTTCGATGCAGCTCCAGTTAAGGAAGCACGATCACGCGGCCCAGAAAAAGGACACTTTGGGGGCCGAAGCCTTCATCCCTCAAACTATTGAGCACATGAGCAAAAGACATTCGTGCGGCTTAAAAGAAGTCGAGACGGGTTTCATGTTTGCCGAACCGGTGAGCCAGAAAGTCATCTTGAGAAACAACAGTGAGAAAGAGAAAGAGTCGTTACACACGGATATCCGGAAAAGACTGAGTACCATCGATGAACTGGATGAATTGTTACCGGGGCGGGATTCTAATGTCTTCATTCAGAATTTTCTGGAAAACAAAAAGGAATACAACAGTATAGGGATCAGTGGCTTTGAGATACGCTATCCGGAGAAACAGCCGGACCGAAAAAACAAATCTTTAATAGGAGGAAATCACAGTAAAATAGTGGTGGAACAAAGGAAAAGCGAATATTTTGAGCTGAAAGCGAAACTTCAGGGCTCCCCGGATTATCTGCAAGTCCTCGAAGAGCAAACAGCTTTGAATAAAATCTAGGCTGTGCAATCTGATTTCCTACGGAGGACTTTTATTTAACGATGCAAGTGCCTTTTGTTGACTTTTCGTTTCCAAATATGATACTCTCCCGATAGGCATAGAGGCAGGCAATCCAGGGGTGTGTGTGTGTGTGTATGTGTGATAAAATTATAGCTCCAAATAGATTTTATTTCTTAAAAACTCTGCCCTGTGAGGGAAACGGTAGGGAAACCTGCAAAGACTCTATTGCCAAGGTGTCGCTTTATACACATATTACACTGAATTTAACCTCAAGAGGAATATATATTTTCTACCCTAACTGCAAAACTTTCGTCTCCTTGTGATTTGTTCAAACAAATGCACAAGAAGAAGAAAAAGGAGGAGAGAGAGAGAGAGAGAGAAAAACTAATGACAGAAAGAGAGAGGAAAGAAGAAGCTGTGCTGGTGGCATTCCACACGGATTAAAAATTGCTAAAGGAACTGAAACCGGTTTCAACCCCTATAAAAAGTGGTGGATTTCGCGATCGCAAGAGATTTTACAAACCACAAAAGCATGCAAACGAAAGAACCTTCCATAGTTATGTGTAAAATTGGTTACCTTTACAACCTGCATCTTGAAAACACTGGATTTATAATGTTAAAGATTGTGCAGAAATCTTCTTTTTTTTTTTTATTAAAAAAAAAAAAGATTACCGTTCATTGCATCCATAACAAAAGCAATTTTGACCATCTGATTTACATGCCAGAAATCTGCATAAAATTGATTCCGACGGAACCTAAGTGGCAACGAGGACTGGAAGAAAAAAAAATATATACTTGACGTTTAAGACAAAACAACTCCCACCCCTTGGTGAAACTCCTGTCAACCCCCCAAAGGTTGTCCAGAATTTTCAAAATAATTTGCTTGCTGTGTGAGCGTCTCAGAAATTATTTTTGTAATATAATTCATATTTATGAAGTACTTTGTATACTAAATAGGGGGGAAAAATTATGTACTCCTCATAATGTATTTAAATATGCCTGATTTGTTTTTCTGGTCACAACGGTGCATTAATCATTCAATATAATTTAAAAAACAAAAAAAACAAAAAGAGAGAACCAATATACCAAACAGAAACTATTGATGAAAATGTATAGATTTATTTGAGAGTCAATGTGATCAGGTCTTAAGAATAATAATGATGATGAAGATGATAATAATAAAATTATGTTCTGTACTATGCTTGTGAAAACAACAAAGGGTTTTATTTAAATTCGGGGCACCCATTTCTGTCTCATGTAAGTCAATTTTGCCTGTCCTGTTTTTCCTTTTGTTAGTAACGTTGAGATTTTTAGGGCTCTTGAAGGTTTTTTCCAGTTTTGAGGGGTTTCAGCAGTTGGAGTCACTAATGAGACAGGTTAATGGTGTGTGCAGACATTTCTGATTTTTGTTGCGGTGCTGCTGATTGTGTTTCAGCTTGCAATTGTCTAGACTAGAGGCAACCAACTGGCCTATCTTTTTCAGACCCAGAAAAACCAAAAGGGCTGCCAAGACTATAGTCATAGGTTCTCTCTGATCTATGGTCCATCCTTAATAGAACCTCCTTCTTTACATGTTTAGAAGATGCTTTTGAAGATGCTGTATTCAGATGTTGTGGTTAGTTCCTAGTTGTTTTTTTTTTTAAGGATTTGGCCCCCTCTGGAGGAAGAAATTTAGAGCTGTGGTTTTTAGTGACGTGAACACAATTACAATTCCTGTAAGCTGTTCAACATGCTTTCGGTTTGGTGACTTTACAACTTGTGTTACATACCCAATGTCCTTGACTGACCTGGTGGTATGCAGTGGTCCCTAATATTATTTGGTCACATTCAGCTATCTTAAGTATGCCTAGATGCCTATTTTATCCCAACCTCTGCAATTGTAGAAGTTGTTTGTTTGTTGTGACTGAAAGCAAGAAGAATTTATTTTGAAAAATTCCATGTTTATAGTTTTGAAACTCCAAGCTCTGGAGAAGATGGAGGCTTTGGGTACTGCTGTTGTTTGACTGGATCTCTTCCTCAATCTTCATATATCGATCAGGACCTAGGATGGTCTAATCTTAAATCTACTTCACCCAAAGAGTGATTGGAGGGTAAAACTGCTTCTGGAATAGGAGTTGAAGAGGAGTTGACATTGTCAGAGGTTTTTGCACAGGTTCTGTCAGTAAGAAGTTCAAGTAACACCCCCAATGAAAGAAAACTCCGAGTTTCCTCAAAGTTCCATTTTATTAGAGATGTCATATTGGCACATTTGGGAAAACCCGAATCTGAAAGCTTCCAGGTTTTCCCCACCCAAAAGAAAGTCCAAGTCCCTGCCCAACACCCACATGTCCATCAGATGGTCCAATCAAAGTACCGTCCCAACTGGAGATGCCTCCCAGTTCCAACCTCCCAGGTGCAGGGCAAGATGTCCTTGACTCTCTGAGAAAGGAATGTTATTATGACTACATATCACCCCTGCTCCATACAATCCCCCCTCCCAGTTTCCCACAGTAGTAAATGTGGCAGGTCTGAAGGTCCAATGCAAAAGATGGCCTCCAGGCCTTATACCTACCTTGCACTCTAGATTTTTCTTCTTCCTCTGCCTAGCCAACGAGTTGCCACCTGTAATGTCAAGTCCAGAAATGATGTTGTTATTTTGTCTTCATGGTTTGTTTTGAAGTAGGCCTGTGGGTGAAACGCTAATGCCCCTTTGAATGGAATGGTTGCTGACTCAGTGATTTCCATGCGAAGATCCTTTAAATCTCCTTGACATGGAGTAACAGAAAGAGACTCAGCAACCTTATTGATATCTGATTTTGTGGAATGTGTGAGCATCTTTTCACTCTGAAAGATCAGGAACATCAGGGTGGTAGTTCCATAGGGTATCTAACTCAGGGGTGAAATCCAGCAGGTTCGAACAGGTTCTGGAGAACCGGTAGCGGAAATTTTGAGTAGTTCGGAGAACTGGCAAATGCCACCTCTGGCTGGCCACAGAGTGTGGTGGGAATGGAGATTTTGCAATATCCTTCCCCCAGGTGGGGAGGGAATGGAGATTTTGCAGTATCCTTTCCCTGGAGTGGGGTGGGAATGGAGATTTTGCAATATCCTTCCCCTGCCACCCCCACCAAGCCACCCCCACAGAACCAGTAGGGAAAAATTTTGGATTTCACCCCTGATCTAACTGGCCACTGCAAAAAGTCTCCGCTCTGTAGAAGCTTGGCAATATGGTTCTGGAGTTTTATAGGTGGTTGTGCTGAAAATTTGATTGTTTCCCTCAAAATTCAGGAGACGGGATGAATAGACAAGTACAAACCTTCTCATACACCTTGATCTGCCTTCCACAAACTGCCCTCCTCCAGATGTTTTGAGACTACAGTAGTGGCCAAAATTGTGGGAACCTTTTGGGAAAAGTGTATTTTTGAGGTTTGATGACTAATAACACCATATTTTTTGAATTTTGAGATAATCATATTCTACCGCTGGAATGGCCTGGAAATAGCCCAGACCTTAACCCAATTGAAAATCTATGGAGCCAACTAAAGAAACTGGTTAGTCAGAAGTCACCCAGCAATAAAACCCAGTTAATAGGAGCCATCCTTCAATCTTGGTTTCACATTATAACAGCTGCAGAACTAAAAGACTTGGTTCACTTCATGGGAAGATGTTGTAAGGCTTTCATTCATGCTTAAGGTTACCCAACTAAGGATTAACTGACATGGTGATGATTTTTGTATATCTCGTTTTTTCTATGGTGATAATTCTCGTTTTTTTTCTACGTGTTTCTATTTCTTCTTTTATCTGTAACTGCCATTCTAATAGCAAATCCTTCATAAAAGTTATTGCATTACATTCTTGATTAAATTATCTTTCCATTGATATATAATTTTATGGTAGTACTGCCCCCCCCAAAAGTGATATTAGCTAGTTTTAGAAAATACACTTTTCCCAAAAGGCTTCCACAATTTTGGCCACTACTGTAGAGTCTTCAGGATTCCCAGTTCTGGAGGATATCAGGCTAAGGAAGGCTGAACTCATGTTCTTGGAATGAGCAGAAGCTGTGGCATGTATTTACTTATCTGCAGGTTCTTGTGGCAAGCAAAATCGAGTTCTTGAAATCCTAGGCAAAAGGTTGTCCTCCCAGCACAACCTTTAGATTAACTAGAATAATTGCTTGAGTTAAATTCCTTCTGAAATCCATCATGGTTTGAAGAGAGTTATAATAATCTCAGGGAAGCTAGATAATTAGTTGAGCATTAACAAATGGAAGTTTTTTCCGTTGACAAAAGCTTAAACCAGGTGTACGTCGAGGATCGAAATGTCACCCGTGGGAATTGAAATCAGGTATCTGTGTCTGGGATAAGGGACGCAGTGGCTCAGTGGCTAAAACACTGAGCTTGTTGATCGAAAGGTCGGCAGTTCAGCGGTTCGAATCCCTAGTCCGCATAATGGAGTGAGCTCCCGTTCCTTGTCCCAGCTTCTGCCAACCTAACAGTTTGAAAGCACGTCAAAAAGGCTAGTAGAAAAATAGGGACCACCTTTGGTGGGAAGGTAACAGCGTTCCGTGTGCCTTTGGTGTTTAGTCATGCCGGTCACATGACCACGGAGACGTCTTCGGACAGCGCTGGCTCTTCAGCTTTGAAATGGAGACGAGCAACGCCCCGTAGAGTCGGGAACGACTAGCACATATGTGCGAGGGGAACCTAAAGGGAATCTGTGTCTGGGTTTTTTTCGCTCCCTGGTGAAACCAAGAGATAAGCCAATAAATTGTCTTAACGGCAGAAAATTAGAATATGGAAATTGCCTTAATATATTCAGGGAGTTTTGAAATTACTTTTTTTGGGGATGGGAAGAATGTTTTCAATAAGTAGAGGTCCATCTGTGGTCTGAAGTGATATGAATCAGAGGTACCTTCACCATCTGCTGCTTTGTGAGAACAATGTTTAAATAATTGAATGAAAATTGAAAATACTGAAAGAGGAAGACATTTCCATCGTTTGTATTGGTTTGTGGTGTCCTTGAATTCTTTCCAGTTTAGAAAGATTGGTTTGTTCAGTGCTTTGTACTTTGCAAAAGATGAATACCAACAGATGAATGTGGGGAGAAATCGGATAACTCATTGGCCTGATGGATGCATGGTAGACTTTGTTTTAATGGCTTACCGTTGTGTGCAAAACTGGGGCTTAATTCTACAATCTGGTTAAAAGAATAAGGGCTTGATTTCAATTGATGTAGGTTTTGTTTTGTTTTGTTTTGTTTTAATTTGATTTATATGCCGCCCTTCTCCGGAGACTCAGGGCGGCTTATAGTGCTTAAGCAATAGCTTTCATGCTTTTGTATATTTATACAAAGTCAGCTTATTGCCCCCACAAACTGGGTCCTCAATTTACCTACCTTAGAAAGGATGGAAGGCTGAGTCAACCTTGAGCCTGGCGAGATTCGATCTTACTTTAATTGCAGACAGCTGGTGTTAAATTACAGTGCTTCTGTCTGTTGAGCTAAACCAGGCTCCTGGTTTAGGTATTCAGGCATGGTGGTTTATTAAGCATTATCAAGGAACTAAGTTTGCTATCAGATAGGAATTCAGCCAAAGGGGTATGTCAGACAGTATATGGACAAAAATTCTATAATCTTACTTGAGACTTGTTTGCAAAGAAGCTCATGTTGAAGGAACACATAAGTTCCAATGCAATGTTAGTGAATATTACTCGATTTTGCAATGGGGGGTGGGGGTGGGGAAGGTTGGAAGCTTGTTGATATTTTTATCCTTTGTTCTCAAGAAATGCCAGTTATCCAGGTGTGTTCTTTGTATTCGCCATTAGACAAGATGCCATTGGATTCATGTAAGCTGTCAGACGGCTATCATGTAGCTTCCAAGGCCTACAGGTCGGCAGTTCAGCGGTTCGAATCCCCAGTGCCGCGTAACGGGATGAGCTCCCGTTCCTTGTCCCAGCTTCTGCCAGCCTAGCAGTTCGAAAGCAGGTAAAAAATGCAAGTAGAAAAATAGGGACCACCTTTGGTGGGAAGGGAACAGCGTTCCGTGCACCTTTGGTGTTGAGTCATGCTGGCCACATGACCACGGAGACGTCTTCGGACAGCGCTGGCTCTTCGGCTTTGAAACGGAGATGAGCACCGCCCTCTAGAGTTGGGAACGACTAGCACATATCTGCAAGGGGAACCTTTACCTTGACCCATTTTATCCATCCACAAATTTGTAGGAGTAAT